CGGATTACATAAACTTTTCAGTACAATGAGGAACACCTAAGTGTTCTACTGTAAGATACGAGCAACAACTCCTTGCTTATTTACAAAACTATACACATATGATTTCTCTACAGGGTTTGCACAACACTTTGGTGTAGTTTTATTGAGCTTGATTTAAACCGATAAATTTGTCGTTATAATGTAGTTAGTTACTTTTCTTCAGCTTCAAAGTCTTCCTTTTATAGCTTATAAAAGTGATCCGTTGAAAGGTTAGAAAGGTAAATCAGAAATCTAGTTGTTGGTTCTCAATGGTTATAATGAGATTAGTCACTGTCAATTACAAAAGAACTGTCTTTGTGTCACTCTAGAAGAGTAGATGTCACAATCACTTTATGTACCTTTTGCATACTATCACACGTTAACCATTTTGAACTTTTTCGTCTTGATCTACAGAGGCTTCAGATATTTGAATATTGAGCGTTGAAGCTTATTGTAGAAGAATCTTTCTTAATCCTTATAACCTAAGTCTTGGAGTTTTCAGAACTTGTCACATAGAACCATGTCTTCAGAGTCTTTAGCACTTGGTAGTAATAACTTTTTTTTCTTCAGATCATCAGAACTTGTTCAACAGAACCTTATCTTCATAATCTTCAGAACTTATAACACAGAGAAGTAAAGCTTTAGAAGGCCTCCAAAGCTAAACCACAAAGCCACGATCAAAACTTCTTGTACTAACGTTCCTAAGACACGTTACAGTAGATCAGTTCGGAACCTTGACTTTACCAAAACATGTAACCACATGTTTTCTTCTAGAATGTATGTTCAGAACCTGATGACGTCACACACCTTGTACAAGAGTCAGAATATTATAGCATCAACTACACACTAGACGAAACCATTAGTATATACAATTGTTCTCTAAGATAACATGTGAAGTTATCATCAAAATCTCAAGGTCATATGTAGGAAACACTTCTTGTTCTTACAATCTCCCCTTTTTAATGATGACAAAACTATGTATTTTAATAGAATAATTTATACAGGGTAATCACCGTAGTTGATAAATTCAGAGTTAAGCTCACAGCTCCCCCTGAATCTGTTAAATCCAAAATTCTATTTAAGTTTGTTCAGAGTCTCCCACTGAGCCTAAGACTCACAAAATAAATTTTGAGTATCACAACATAATAATAGAGAAGTAACACTTCTCTATAGCAACTCATCAGAGTCTGACTAGAATACATGGTCTTCATCTCAGAACCTGGTTTCTATTAGCACTTATGAAGAATCAAAACTTGATCTCGGCCTGATTGAATAATGCCACGCATTATGTATCAGCGCTTCTGGATCAAGATTTTGATATCACAACCAAAACACTATACTTCTCAAGTATGGATGGAAAGGAGATGCAATAACCATTTCATTATATGCGTACATTGACGCAGTAGTTTGTAGGCCTGCAATCATCGCGGTTGGCATGTCATATGGATACCCCCTCCCAATAGGGGGAAGTGTAAAATTTTGCAGGAATGAAGGCCTACTATCTCCTAAGCGATTTTTGTAACTACGAGATTAATATGACCACTAGTTGATGGTGGTATCATCATTTCTGATGTTGTAGTCGGAGCTAATGTCAGACTCAAAATAGAAGTAGTTACTCCAACGATTGTTTATTGTCTATACCACCAACGGTTCTGATCAATTGTTCTTCTACGTTTGTAGCATTGTTCTGGGGAGGAGAAATTTACTGAGGGGGTTAATTTCCCGATGATCTGGTCATACTAATGAGTTAACCACTCCTAAAACACATAAACGCTCAATATATGACAACATTTAGATGCGAAGAATGTGAACCAATATCAAAGCACATATACTCTCTGCAAAAGTTTAAATTTTGCACATAAGGATTCCACAGGACGTGCCAATTTGTTTACTAGTGTTTTTAGTAAACAAATCACAAGTTTTAGTTCACTTAAATGATTAAACTCGAAAAAATTCTAAGGAAATTTTGTGCGAGATCTTTGAGAAAATGTGTCTATGTTGAAAGGTTTAAAGTTTGAATTTAAAGAAACATGATGAAAATGTAAAAAAATAAACGCATAATTGCTTAAGAAAGGTAAAATAAATGAAGACGAATTGGTAAAGAAATTAGATAAAATATTAAAATTAAAAGAGGGACAAAAGTTCATACATTTCTTACAAATTCTAGATCATTGTGACTTGGATATGTGAATTCTAAAGAGAACAAATAAGAAATTGTGAACCCTTTTCACTTAAATGAAATATACTTATATACTATGTACATCAATAACCGTCACCAACGATTACCTCTTCAGCATTCGACACGTACACTATTACGTAGGTCATTGACCTCTACTTTGCTTCCACGTGTCTTCAGCTCTTAAGTTGTCTCAAAACCACTATTGTTGTTGAAAACAACTTCAGGTCCTCCAACTGCCTTTTTCGAGAGTCACAACGTTTGAATCTTATGATTTTTGTGTCGAAAACATGATTTAGCTATCCGTGTTTAGCTTGTGTTTTTGTCTCACATCCCCACTCCTGTCAAACATGTTGAGTCGAAAATCTCAAGCGAGCAACTGCTCAATCATCTTGGAGTTTCCAATTGGGACAAATTTGAATCGATAAGAAACATGGAACCAAGTGATAATGACAGTAAAATCGAGATTGAATAGGTGAAAGAACAAACATTTGTCTGTTGGCTATTGAGTGGTAATCTTACAATATGTCTTATATGCGATACCAATATACTTTTTTCTTTTTTTTCAAGACTTTGACAATTATTATTTTTAAATTAGAATCTATTTTTAAACAATTTTTGTATTGGGGGAAGAGGTAGCGAGAAAGAGAGAAAAGTTAATTGGGTTAAATAGAAAAAAGTGTGTAGACCGATTAAGAAGGGGAATTAAGAATTAAAAACTTAAAGATGTTTAACATCGCATCACTAGGAAAATGAAAATGTAAAGAAAATAATAAAAGAAATCGTATTTGATATGATGTGTTAGTTAACATGTACATGCAAAATAATGAGGTTTTAAATTCGAGGTTAAATGTGATTTCAAATTATTGCAGAGATATTTGTCATTTGGATGGAGGTGGGTGGGTCACATCAAAGGAGTATTATGTGAAAGAAGTCTATAAGAGCATGGTGGCCAACGACCAACCACCATCTAGCCAATTCTGGACCAAAATTTGGAAAAAGATTATCTCTTTAAAAGTGTCTTGTTTGCCTTGAAGAGTGCTCAAGATAAAATCGTAATAAAAGATAACTTAGTTAGAATGGGAGTGTTAGATTAGAGGTAAGTATGGTGTGTCAAGAGTGTGGTGTGTGGGAGGGAGGATTCACTTTCTCACTTTTTTTTAGTTCCCAATTTTCGCATGTGCATGGATCTCCATTTGTAAATGTATTGCCGTAATATCACCTTCCATAATGATAGATGGCAGCACTTGGGAACAGTTTGAAAGGTTGCTAGGCAGAGGAACAATGTTAACTATGAAATTAGACGTCATTTGAATCACTTGTGTTTGGAGCATTTAAAAGCATAAGGAACCATAAAGTCTTATGAAATGAGGATAATCAAATTGAAAAGGTAGATAGAGGAGGCAAAAATATCGGCTTGGAAGTAGCTTAGAATAAAGACAAATACAAAAGTAGATGACATTACCATGTGGTGTATGAATCCTAAGGCGTGCCTCGGCATCTTGGGCGATTGAGTATGTTTGCCGACAGTAGCTTCACTTTCACTGTCAATTATGTGTTTTTTGGGGACAGGTGCTTCGGTTTTGGAAGTTTTGAGCTGCTGCCAGCTTTCAGCTATGCGGATTCCGATCTGTCTAGGCATTAGTGCAGTTTCTGTATTAGTGGAGTCGTGTTCAAGTTTTCAGGTGCAAGCTAGTATCATGAGATCAACACCGAACTGCATTGATTTATATGAATCTGTCAAGGTGTGACTGCTTGAATAGCTCTGTAGTGATTTGGAGTTCGCGGGTAGTTTTTTCGACTTGGTCCTCAGATAGGTTTAAGATTTTAGTGGTTGCAAGTTATGAGTATTCTAACAAGGTGTTTCTAGGCTTCAACTTGCACATGTATATATATGGTTGGGTCTTGTAAAGTTGTATAAAGTTTGACAGGAGTTTTTTCATTTATGCTGGCTGTGCCTTGTATTGTTGTCATTGGAGTAAACAACTCAGAGTTATGTCCCAGCTTGTGCCTTGTTCTGTTGTTATTGGCAGTATGCAACTGTGAGTTATGTCCCGGCTTGAGACATGCCTTATGTCTGTGCTTTAATTTAATTTTTTTGCTGTTTAGAAAAAGCCCTATGTCTGTGTTTTAATTTTAATTTTTTTGCTGTTTAGAAAAGAAAAAAAAAAAACCTATCATGAATATTTTGTACGGATATCCATATAATATGAATACAATTATCACCCCACATGTTAGTATCGAGTTTTGGCCATTTGTTTATTATAGTTTCCACAAATTTTCCTCTTTTGTTATGAGGCGTGCTTGCTCTAGCTTTACCACATGTACTTGAGACCAAATAAGAGAATCGAACGCCTCAAGAAAAATTACAGTGAACTTACATGCAATCTTGAGTGAGACATTAGCGTTTTTAAATTTTGAATTGAAAACTCAGAATACATATGAACCTTAATAAACGAAACTGTTGGTTCTTCAGTGATGATAACCTTAAAGGAACCAAGACACGCATGTTTCTGTGATTTGTTTTTTATGTGAACCAAAAATAAACAATGTACTACTATATAATTATGTACACACAAGGCTACAAACAAATAATCAAGTTTAAGTCCTAAACCTTGTTTATAGACAAAATTAATCCACAAAAGTTAAAACAAAATAGCAAGTTTGAAATGGCCACCTCCATGATTTACAACCCAAATCCAACAACACCAATAAACGTTTCAGAACCACCCACTTGTTCAATTCATGCCTTTTCCTAGAGACCTATACCAGCAAATTTAAACCTTTGAAAAAATAAATGGGAAACCTAAAATGTAGTAGAATTGATAAGGTTGTTGTTCCTAGCTGCAGCAACTCGGTAACGAGCTCGACTCAAGCCACCCGATTCAAAAAGACTATCAAACTCACCATCTTCGTCATCACCATCTTCAAAACCCCTCATCTTCTGCAACACCCTTTTGGCCTTCTCCCTCGCCCTCTCTGTCCCGGTTTCTTCAATTACCCTTAAAACCTCCACAGCTTTCGCTTCCTTCGCCAACCCTTTAAACCTCAAGCTCCCGTGACTCAACGCATACAGAGCAGCAACACAATTCTCACGAGTCGCCTCTGAGTCCAACTCGTTTCCTCTCAACAAACTCACCAGACACTCCACTGCATTGGCATCAAGCATAGACGTTCTTCCCTCCACGCACATCGCCAGATTACACAGAATCAACAAAACCCGACTTGCCATTGTCCCAGTCATCACCATTGAAATCAATGTAGGAACAACCCCAAGTTTCACAAGCTTGACTCTGTTACTCTGAACCAGTGTCAAATGATAAAGTGCAAGCGCCGAGTCATGGCGAGTCCGCTCCGATTCAGACCTCATCGCGTGCATAAGCGGCTGCAACGCGCCGAGAACTCCAATCGCCATCTTGTTATCATCATCCAAAGCCAAACTAAAAATTGCACCCGCAGCGTGCTCCTGCGACTCACTGGATCCTCCCTTCAACACATCGATGAGAAACGGAACAAATCCTGACCTCACAATCCTCATCTTGTTGGATTTCTCAAGCGAAAGGTTGACCAACGAAGCAACGGCGTTGACCTGAACCACAACGTAACGCGAGTCAATCAAAGAGCGCAGCGACGAAAGAATCCGCGGCGTGCATAACGAAACCCTAGCTTCCTCTCTGCTCCTCGTGATGCTCCTAAGCGAGATAACCCCTTGTTCTTGTTCAAAAACCTCGTTGCTCTTCAGCTTCTTCAGTAGGATTTCCTCCTCTTCCGAAACAGGTACGTTAGGGTTTTGAACTTCGATCTCGAAGGAGGAAGATGAAGAAGGAGAGAAACACGTTGGACGAACCGTGAAAGGTAAAGGCGTTTCTGGACTCGACGGGATTATAACTGATTCCTCAGATGAAGAACCTGAATTGAAGTGATTGACACGCGGCCCTACCTCAGTCGCGGCGTGGGAGAATATCACCGGCGGGTTATCCGCCACCGCGTTGAGCAGCTCCTTTTCAGAAACCCTAATCGGTTCCAGTGGCACCATTTTTTCTCGTACAAGCTTCTCCACGGCGGCGTAATCCGGTGTGGGCGGGTGTTGGGTATGAGATTTGTCGCACCAGTTGAGGATGGTTTTTCTGATGGCTAAGTTGGTGATGATGGTTGAGAAATCGGGTCGGGACCCGTCTTCTAGGAGTGGGGAGAATTTTAAGTCTTGGCATACTTGAACGGAGAGACGTTCGAAGGTTTGACCCGAGGAGACGACAACCGGGTCGGACATTAATGACCCGGTGATAGGGCATAGTAACTCGTTGGGAGGTTGGAGGGGTTTAGAGTGAGAGGAAGGACGATGGAAGGAGATTTTCCACCTGTGTTTTCCATTGCCACCCATGATTATTTTAATTTCAGATGCTAAGGTTAAGAATTGGGAATATAAATATAATAGTACTAAAAACTCAGAAGCATGTGACTTGAGTTTGCACGTGTTGGGTAAGAGTCATACTGGGTCTTGTTGAATGAGTATGAGGAGAAGAAGAAGAGAGTTGAGACCAGAGACAGTAAACAACAAAACTATTGACAGTGAGGATTGTTACTGCGCTGGATGAGATTCTTTTTGCCTTTTCTTTACCTTATTCCGCACTTTTACGACGAGTTATTTATTTCCGAAACTTTCAACATGTTTATTTTTCTTTATTCACAGGTAATTATAGTGTCTCTCTCTATCATAACCACAGCTCTGAAAAAGTCGCTTCCCAAACAGCTCATCGGATTTCTTTAATGAAAACCACTTACTCTGTTTAACACTCCTTCCATTTATTTACTCATTAATAATAAATTGTTTTAAAGTAAATGCCATTTTAACCCTTTTTAAAATATATACAATCAATTATCACTATTTTAGTCGTCTCATATAATTACTGTTATACTCCGTGTTATTTTTAAAATATTTTATTCTATATTTAATTCTTCAGTTTTAGAAAAGTGGCAAAATTGCTTTGATAATTTTATTATGCTTTTAAGATATACATAACAAATTTAAATAACATTAATTTTAAATAATAAAATATTATTATTTTAATGAATGTATTATTTAAATCATTGTTACTATGAGAGTTTTATAGTTGATAATTTATTAATTGAAGAAAACTCACGTACAATTTGGTAAATGTGAATTTATAGTATTTTTTAATAAAAATATGACAATTATATAATATTTTTTATATATATAATTTTCTCCTATTTTGATTTCATATACTATATATATATATATATATATATATATATATATATATATATATATATATATATATATATATATATATATATATATATATATATATATATATATATATATATATATATATATATATATATATATATATATATGTGTGTTTGATTTATAAATGTGATATTCTTATTTGTAACCTAGAAAATATACTCAACTTTTGATGTAATATGTTATTCCTTCCGTTTTAAAATGACTGTCGTTTAAGGTTTTTGCACACAATTAAAAAATACAATAATATTGTCATAAGACATTACTCTTTTACAAATCTCCTGGATACAAGATATATGTTATTGATGTATCTATCTCGTCAATGGACCGAAGTCTTATTTATCTCTGATATATATATGATACATGAATGCTACAATTAATGCGAATTGACGTTCACAATCCTCCAACTACAATCCTCATCACTAGACATAAGTCTTACATGTTACTGATTCTTTCGAACCTAAACACATCATTATGAAATCATTATCAGTGTAAGACCATGTCACTGGTTCTCCTGAATCTAAACACCTCAACAATGGTTCTTTTGAACCTAAATACATCTTCATCACATTATTGTCTGTGTAAGGTCACTAATTCTCTTGAACCTAAACATCTCAACACTGGTTCTTTCGAACCTAAACACACCGCACATGAACACTTGTGTCCTAACCTTAATAAATTAACTCATATATGTATTATAAACCATTGAAGTTGTGTCCTAAAAACATTAACAACTTAATTCACATAGCATCTTATCAAAATAGCTCCAAAATCATGTTTCCTACTAGTCATGCCTCATATTCGAATAATTATTTAAAATATAAAACAAAGTCAGAATCAAGCAAATGCACATGTTTCGAAAAGCTTAGAGAGTCTATTTTAATACTATGGTTTTTTATTTTAGGACTTAAGATCCCAATCGATACACTTTAGTCAAATAATAGGAACTAATATAGGGATCGGGTATAATGTTTTGTCGGACTTGTAACTAGTATTTCTCTTACTGAACTTAAGAATTTGTAACTAGTACTACTACTATTTCAACATGTGAGAAAATATACAAATAATCTTCAAATACCATTAGCACATAAAACAGAATTTGTTGGGCAATTAACCCCCTTTGTCTTATAACATGTAACGAGCAGGTATGCAATATCTATAAATATACATATCGTGTTCTTAAATTTTGGAGTAGCATGGATCTTCCGGATAAGCGGTCAATTTTTGAGGCATGTGAGGAAACTTGTATCAATAAGATAGTTGATAATAATTCGATAGGAACTTCTTACCGAGTAGTCACCAATAGGCTCATCGCTCTAAATCGGCTTATCAACGGTAATCAGGTAAAAAAAAGTGTTATGTTAAGAAGTTTACCATCATTGATTGGGTCAAAATTAGTATTAATGAACTGAGTGTTCCACTTATTTGAATTTTTCAAGAGGATATCACCCATGTAGAATTGGTCTTGGGAATGAAGATTTGGGATAAGGGTGATTTTGTTACTAATCCATTTTTCATTCTAAATTGGGATGTTCACGCTATTACATATATACCATCTAATAACTTTTCTCAAAATGAATTTAGCATTGTAAGTACTTATCTACAGAAAGCTTGGATTATGACCCACCTTAGAGCCAAAGAAGCCCGTATGAGAAAATCCTGAGGTTTGAATAGTGGTGGTGTGAGATTTGAATGTGTGAAAAATACAAGAAAGAGGAATTTGAATTGAGTTTCACTAAATAAAATATTTTCGTTGGTGACAGACCAAATTAATTTAGAAAATAAAAATAAATGAACATAATTATTTTTATCCTGATTCGCTGTTAACTAAGCTACTTCAGTCCACCCCCTCTAAGATGATTTCGCCTTCAACAAGGACTTAATCCACTATAACCAAACTGATTAGATAACCTACAATAAGTCAGATCAACTTTATTGACACCTCCAATAAGTCAGTTGATCCTTATTGCAAATCTACCGAGCCACAACAGGAGTCTTCTTGAGATCAGATCTTCACTCGATCACTCAAAGAATCAATCAACAACGGTTGAATACTTTTAGTGTATTACAAATTGCTTCTTTTAAGCAGATTACACAAACGTTTTAGTACAAAGAAAAATACCTAAGTGTTTTACAGCAATATACGAGCAACAAATCCTTGCCTATTTACAAAATTATACACAGAAGATTTCTCTAAAGAGTTGCACAATGCTTTGGTTTAGTTTTGCTTGAGCTTGATTTAATCCGATAGATTTTGTGTAATGTTGATTCTTACATTTCTTCAGCTTCCAAGTCTTTCTTTTATAGATTGTAAAAGAGATCTGTTGAAAGGATAAAAAGGTAATCAGAAATCCAGCAGTTTGTTCTCAACGGTCATAATGAGATTGGTTATAATATAGTAGAAAAGGAATGTCCTTACACCACCCTAGAGGATAGAGGTCACAGTCACTTTATGTATCTTTGGTACACCATCACACATTAACCATTTTGAACTTCTTCTTATCTTCAAAGGCTTCAGATAATTTGAAAGTTTGAAGCTTGTTGTAGAAGAATCACCCTTAAGTCTTAGAACCTAAGTCTTGGAGTCTTCAGAACTTGTCTTGTCAGAACCTTGTCTTTGGAATCTTCAGCACTTGGTTGTATGAACTTGCTTTCTTCAGATCGTCAGAACTTGTTCAGCAGAACCCCGTCTTCATAATCTTCAGAACTTATAACACACAGAAGCAAAGCTTTAGAAGGCCTTCAAAGCTTAACCACCAAGTCACAATCAGAACTTCTTGTACTAACGTTCCTAAGAACCGTTGCATAAGATGAATTCTAAAATCTTGACTTCACTGTAACACGTAACCACATGTTTTCTTCCAGTAGTGTATGCTCAGAATCTAATGACGTCACATGCATTGATACCATAGTTAGAACATTATAACAACAGTTACACACTAGAACGAAACCATTAGAGTATACAATTGTTCTTTATGATACCATGTAAAGTTATCATCAAAATCTTAAGACCAGATATAGAAACACTTCTTATTCTTACAATCTCCCCCTTTTTTATGTTGAAAAAACCATGTATTTTGATAAAATAATTTATTCAGGGTAATCATTGTAACCGAAAAATTCATAGTTAAGCTCACAGCTTCCTCTGAATCTGTTAATCCCAAAATTTCATTTATGCTTGTTCAGAGTCCCCCCCCCCCCTGATCCCTAAACTCACAAAATAAATTTTGAGTTTTCAGAATATAGAGATAGAGAAGTAACATTTCCCTACAACAAATCATCAAAGTTTGACTAGAGCACCTGGTCTTCATCTCAGAACCTGGTTACTATCAACACTTAATGAAGAATCAAAACTTGATTTTGAGCATGATTAAATAATACCACGCATCATGTATCAGCACTTCTATTTCTCGATTCTGATATCACCACCAAAACATTATACTTCTGGAGAAGTTCACTACTTCTTAAGTATCAACGTTTGACATGATAGTTTCCAGTATATCACACACTCATACAGTTCACAATTTCTGAATAGAATATACGTTGCAGAAGAACATGTATCATAGCACAGCTTCAAAGTGGCATCTTTGTATGAGAGCATGCATCATAATATTGACTTGACTTCCTTTCAGGAGAGCACAACTTCTGAAGCTTTAAGTCTGAATTCCATACTTTTAGAAAGTTCACAACTTCTGAATACTATGATATCAAGCAAGGTTATCTTACTTTCAATAAGTTTATAACTTCTGAATTGTGTTTGGTGCATTTGTTTGAATATTCATATATTCACAAAGTGTACAACTTCTTATATATGAAATCAGAGTTTATTTCATCCATAAGGTTCTAAACCTTAGACATCAAGATCTTCATGATCTTCATATTTAACCTGTCTTAGAATACACAGTGAACTTATTCAAAATTCCTGGATTGAAATATCAAACAAACAGTCAGTAGCAACAACATTTTATATGTTTGAGTTTAAGATTCTAAGAATAAATATTATCAAAATTATTTTACTTTCTCCCCCTTTGTCAGAAATAAAAAAGGTTCTAAAGAGACAGAAAAATAAAATTTGATTAATAACTAATGAGTTTAAAAGATACAATTGTTTTATA